TCCTCCTCCTCCTCCTCCTCCTCCTCCTCCTCCTCCTCCTCCTCCTGGTTCTCTTTTATGATTTTAATTTGTGTCACTTGTTCATTCACGGATTTATTTCTCGAAACAAGTGTCGTTCCTCAACCGAGAAATAAAAAGAAAAAACCTTCCCAGGAGAACCAGTCCTTATGAACATCAGAAGAGTCTTTACAGACCTGGTCTTCAGCCCATCTACTCCACCCCTTCCTCCTCACCCATAAAGGCCAGGTGGAAATATTTGGAAATCTCCATACTTTTTTTCATTCATGAACCTAAGCAGAACCTAATTTGGGACCAGCATCAGCACCGAGTTCGGGGAGGGTGGAATAATGCAAATCAGGTTAGCCAAGGAATTTGTCTTCTCTTGTAGCTGTTGGGTGGGTTTTGTGTAGAAGTTGGTATGTTCAGAAACTCTGGGAAACATGCCCTAGAGGTCACCCCCCCCCCCAAAGTGCTCCGGGACCAGCTGTCAATCAACTCTGAGGCAAAATGGATGCTCACCCGTCGACATCTTTCAGGGATTTGATCAGAGTGGAAAAGACGGCGTGTTCTTTTTGAAGAGTTTCGAGCATTTCCTCGTAGTGGGACTGTTTGGTTCTCTGAAAAGGGGGGAAAAATAGCCTATTTATCTTAAGCAAAAGCATCGATGGCTTTTTGAGTTCTTGTTTTTTTGTGACAAGGACGGCGGTTCTGATCTAGAGATGGGCCAGCCGGACCACTCTGGAGAATACGGACCAATTCCCCAGTCTGGTCTCCTCTTCCTTCAAAGCACCCAACTCCACAAATTGTGTTTCTGCAACAACGTTGATTGAAGTAACTACGGTCAGGGGACACCGCTGTCAGGTGGGGTCAACCTGTCAGCCTTGGATGGGGAAATTTTAAGAAGATCAGAACTCTAGTCCGAAGAGAGATGCGTTACTTATTATATCTCGCGATAATTAAATAGGGTTTCTCAACAGGCTGAGATATTCTGAAGGACATAATAGAATAACAGAGTTGGAAGGGACTTGGGAAGTCTTCTATAGTCCAACCACTGCTCAAGCAGGGAACCCTATGCCATTTCAGACAAATGGTGTCCAATCTCTTCTTGAAAAGACATGGGTGATGAACTCCCACAACTTCTGGAGGCAAGCCACTCCACTGATATAGGGTTTCCTGCCTGAGCAGGGAGTTGGACTAGAAGACCTTTGAGGTCCCTTCCAACTCTGTTATTCTATTCTATGTTCTAATTGTTCTCACTGTCAGGAAATTTCCCCTTAGTTCTAGGTTGCTTCTCTCCTTGATTAGTTTCCACCCATTGCTTCTTGTCCTGCCCTCAGATCTTTGGAGAACAGGTTGGCCCCCTCTTCTTTGGGGCAGCCCCTCAAAAATTGCAACACTGCTATCATGTCACCCCAGTCCTTCTTTTCATGCAACTTACCAAAAAAAAACCATGGCAGCAATCACCCAATGTAAGGCATCTTCTCATTGGGCTTAAGGTTTTTATTTTATTATTATTGATTTTATTCTATTCTTCTATTTGTAGCTAACTTCGGAAATAGCCTCGAAAGACAACGTGGGGCACAGATTTCCCAGGAATGTTGAGAGAGAGAGAGAGAGAGGGAGAGAGAGAGAGAGAGAGAGAGAGAGAGAGAGAGA